TTGCACTTTTGCCTGTACCTGTCTATATATTTAAGCATACTATTCACAGTGTGAGTTTAGAGTTTCTCCCTGGAATAAAATGGGTCTGAATTTTTCTGTAGCCTGCCTCTGAGAGACCACAGCCTCCGATTAAGTCAATATCTCTTGAGTGCCACAGCCACACTGCCAGCCTGGAAGTTCAGACTTGCCCTCGTGCTGGGCATGATTTGTGTATTCATTTCTGTAGCTGCCTCCGAGCACGTAATCTCTTTGTGTAGCTCATACCCACAGTGCACCCACTGTGTGCAGCATTCAGAGGCAGACTGGTATGTCCTTGCCTTCTTGGAACCAGGTGCCTTTTTGCTAGGGTGCTCATCTTGGGTGATACTTGCGCCTGGCCTGGCCTGATGAGTTTTCAGTTAATGTTTTCCCCTTCCATTGATGGAACTCCAGGAAGGAAGGGCTATGTTAGCTCTTGTCTATGGCTGCATCCTCTGCATCAATGCTTGCAGAACTTGGTGGAGGGAAGAGTGGATGTTTGAGTGAAGACACACGGAGGGATCCTGATTCGTCCAGACCAAATTTGCTGAAGGAAGGTGTTGGTCATAAATTTATTGTATAGGTACTTCGTCTGGCAGCAACAGAGGTGGACTAGTGAATAGGCCAGTGTGAGTATGTCAGGCTGGGGCTTGCTGCAAAGATAAGGGGTGTTTAGAGCCCTAAGAAGGGGAGCTGGGAAAGTCCTGGGGCAGGACGGAGAGCATCCTGGAGGAGGAGGAGGAGGAGGAGGAGGAGGCGTGTGCACTTGCAGGCTGTGTCTGTCCTGGAGAATGGGGCACAGGGCAATGAGAAGTGTAGTCTGTGTTCATGCTAGGCTGAGTGGCTAACCTGTGGCTAACAGGCTGATAGCAAATGCTGTCTTGATTGGCTCCTGGTCTCCAAAGATGCAGTTGGAAGCAGAGTTTAGGAAACAAGGCCTAGGATTGAGAAATGAAGTGGGTAATGGTTTCCCCAGCTGCTCAAGTCTGCTCAGGGATCCTTCAGCAAGACTCAAGTCTTCTGTGGCCTCTGAGCCTCTCTGTAGTCTCCGGGGGTTTCGTCCCTCCCCTCTCTGTTCCTCTCCTGCCCATCCTGTACTTGCGGTTCAAACACAGCTTCCCCTTGGAAACTCTCCCCAACTCTCCCCAGGGCTGGGACGTTCCCTCTAGCTTTCCGTGGTTACACGTGCATGTTTCTGTGCGTTGTTTTATAGTTACCGCCTGTCAGTTTGTAATCACGCGTTGATTTGTTTGATTACTTCCCTGCGGTGGGCTGTCCTATCTAGATTACACCCCTCACCACTGCACCCTCTCTTCTTGTTTGCTTTTCAAAAATTCAGTTTTGGCGGCTGGAGAGATGGCTCAGTGGCTAAGAGTACATACTGCTCTTGTAGAGGACCCAGGTTCAGTTCCCAGCTCCCATATCCAGTGGCTCACAACTACCTGTAACTACAGCTCCAGGGGATCCAAGGTCTCTGGCCTCTGTGGGCACCCACATTTGTGAACACATAATCGCCCCACACACACACAACATATATACGTACACATAGTTAAAAATAAAATCATCTTAAGTTTTTAATATTACCTGATACAGAGTAACTTTTTAAATATTTATTACATTGAATGTATAATTATGTGTTTAGGAGTCTCCTAAGTCTTTTTGCTATTGTTTGTTATGTTTTTTTTTTTTTTCTTGACAGAGGATCTTTTGACAGGCTGGCATGGAACTCTCGATCTTCCTGCCTCCGCCTTCTGAATTTTAGGGTTACAGGAATGTGCCACCACACCCAGCAATCCCATGACTTCTTAAGGAATTGTCACTTAATTCTTTCCCCCACTCAAGCAAGCATGTGGATGGAGGTGCTCTCTGGGGACAAGCTAGTAGCATCTGGGTCATCGAGGCAGCCTGAGTTCCCTTGAGTGCATCCCATGGAGACCAATACTGACCTAGAGAAAGTCACAACTGAACGAGGCTGGTCCTTTTCCCAAAAGACTCTGCAGAAGTGAATACATGTCCCAGCTAGGCTGCTTGGACTTGCAGTGTACACAGTGTTGTATTGGAGTCCAAGGACTCATTGTATGTAACTTGAGTTGGCTCCGTGCCCTGAGCCCTCCCTCTGTGCTGGGCCCTACTTGGTGACCAATGACCTTGTCCACAGGGATCCAGAGTCAAGCCACCCTCTCTGGGCTTCCTCAGGAGATGAAGCTCTACCCTTTCAGGGCTCTTAGCTGAGAGGGTCTGATTGGCTGGGAATCCTCCAGGCAAGGCAGAGTTGGATCTTCTCAGGAAACAACCAGGAGAGAAAGAGTGGAGACCTCGGTGGGAGTTGGAAAGCTGGTTTCATCTGGAGTTTGCTGGCTGCCTGGGAGGCAGCCTGCAGGCTGGAGAGTTTAGCTGAAGTAGGGAGGCAGAAAACAATCTCTTAAAAATTGATGTGATCTCCATGGCAGCAAGAAACTTGCTGAGTGCTCTAGAGTGCAAAGGTCACTGTGGCAAGAGTGGCTGGGACAGGGTGACTGCACAGAGCAGTTGCTGAGTAGGAGCAAGCTGAGCAGCGTGTGTGTGTGTGTGTGTGTGTGTGTGTGTGTGTGTGTGTGTGTGCGCGTGTGTGTATGTGTTCATATGTGTGCATGCACATATGTGCACCTAGGTCCATTGGACCATTGATAATAAGGTTCTCTGTTGGGTGCTGACCAGCACAAGAGCATTACTGGGCAGTAAGCTTCCACATCTGCTATTCTTGGTGACCTTATAGGAATGGTCTCCAAGGGGATGGACCACGATGGAAGAAGGGGCACTAGGGAAGACATCCTGTAGACCAGAGCAGGCATCTGGCTTGTGGAAGGCCAGTGTCACTGCCAAAAGAGTGACCCAGGTTTTATGCTGAGACTGTTGTTCAGAGGGACCAGCTTCCACTTTAGGCCACACCTATCGGGTCGTGTAGGCTGTGGCCCAGCCTTGCTTTGAAACTGATGAGGCACCTGTTTTCTCAGGTAGCTTGTAAGCTGTCCCTAAAAGCCCTTCCTGTAGAACATGTCGGGTGCTCTAGGCCTGTCAGTCCTCTTGGGGATCCTGAAAGGGCAGTGCTCAGGTGAACCCCCAAAGTTGGTCTCTATTCAAATTTCAGGCTCCGCAGACAGAGGAGTGGCTGGAACTCTCTTCTGCCTGAGGCCCAGGGATACAATATCCCACCACTTCAGGTTCCTTGGTTTGGTCTCATTCCTTACATGGGTGGGGGGTTGTCATGACAATGGGCAGTATGTGCTTCTTGGGGCAGAGGCTGGATGAGGCCTGGGGTATGTGGTGGGGTATGTGGTGCCTCTCAGTAGGAGAGCTGACCTTTGGTGGTGCTCTCACAGATTCAACAATACAAGCAGAAGCCCCACCAGGGCCTGATTTCTACAGCCTCTCATCAGCCCTCAGGGACGACTGGTCCTTGAGAACCCTGGGCAATGATGAGCCCCAGAGGCCATGTGCTTGCAGGGACCCTCTGTTCTCGAGCTTGCTTTTCTCTTGAACAGGTCAAATCCAAGACCCACAAAAGACAGTTCAACCCCATTTTTTTCAAATTAATAATTCATTATATTTTCTTTGAAATATAAACACCACCCCCAGAGACAGACACAGTGGGTAGTTAACACAGCAGAATACTTTCTTAACTTACACTTCAGAATAGGCAATGCTCTCAAGTCCTGAAAGAAGACAGCTGTTTGGCATGCACTGCTCCTCCTGTGTATATTATATGCAACATTTCTATTATGTAAGACTTTACACAGTATACATATATCTGAAAATTTGTAAGAACACATCACACCACACCTTTTCTTCTCTTTTGTCTCCAAACATCGTGACCATCCTGCACTTCGCTCATCCTTCACCTAACCCTGGGTCCTGAGATCTCGCTCATCCTTCACCTGACCCTGGATCCGGAAGATCTTGGCAAAGATCTCACTTCTTTACACTGCTGCATGGCTTTCCATTGTCCAAGAAATGCCATGGTCTCTTTAGTCACTTCTCTATGAATGAACTTGGGTGGTTTCCAGCCTCTTGTTCCAAGAACCTTGTGCATCCATCACTTTCCATATACACAAGCCAGCTATAAAGCACACTCCCAGAAATGCAGTCTCTCAGGGACAGTGCCCACGTGATGTTGATAGGTTTTTGTCAGGTCAACCAGCACAGGTGTGTGACTCGAATTGTACGCGCGTCTGCCTGTCTCCCCAGGACAGCGTGTCACAGACTGGCCACGATGGTATGACAAATGTGCAGGGTGAGGACATCAGGGAGAGGTGCAGAGGGCCGATAACACCCATGACTAAGTCCTTGAGTCACTCTGAGCTGAAATCCTCAGGCAAAGAAATTGTTTCATTTCTCTAGGCCTGGAATTTTCATTTGTGATAGGAGGAAAATAGTAATATCCCGAGTTAGTTCCTTTTTTTTTGCTTCTGTAATGAAATTCCTCAGGGCAGGAAAGTTTATAAAGGAGCTCATGGCTCTGGAAGTTCAAACCTGTGGTGCGGGCTCAGCCTTGGTGAAGAACTTGTGTGAGTGTGCACACGCTTGTGTGAGAGAGAAGAGAACTGAGGAGGAGGAGGAATAGGCACCACCAGACTGGACCTCCTCCAGCTCTTAAAGGCCCCATGCCTTTTAAACAACCACTAACCATCAAACCCCCAACACCCAGCACTAGGGGCATGAATACAAACCACAGCGCTCATGCCAGGGTCACTGCGGAAGGTAAAGGACATAACATCTAACAAATGGCCTTTGTGCAGTGCCTGGCATGTGACTAGGAGAGGCTGGCTCTGCCGCCGGCAGCAGGTGGTCTTGTCCCGCAGCCCCTTCCCTGAACCCCTGTCATGGGCAGGGAGCCGGGCTGGAGGGTCGGTCAGGCCCCCTTCCCAGTCCCAGGGTCTGGCCTTTCCTCCTCTGACGTCAGAACAGCCTCCACTCATCCTTTCTCTCTCTCATGCTCACCAAAGGTATCCAGGAGTCTCCAGTGCCGAACGGCCACTCACTTCCAGGCAGAGACTTCCTCCGGAAGCAGATGCGGGGAGATCTGTTCACACAGCAGCAGCTGGAGGTGCTGGACCGCGTGTTCGAGAGGCAGCACTACTCAGACATTTTCACCACCACGGAGCCCATCAAGCCAGAGCAGGTATGCCCGTGACTCCCGCCCGCCACACCGGCAGCCACCGCGCAGGCCCGAGCCGTTCCGGGAAGCGGGGCATCGGCACAGAAAGGGTGGGGGTCTTTGCAGAGTGGGAATTCTGTTTTTGGCCAAGCATCGCTGGTCACAACATCCCACCAGACCAGGAGGATTTGCTCAGGGGGCGCTCCGAGGCTTCTTGGCCCGGTGGCTCTGTCTCTGGCCAGCCACAGAGGCATGTGACTCCTCTGGTTGCTCTGCTGCTAGTGAACGGTATGCTTTCCAAGGGCTTTTTGGATTGGGGTGTGTGTGGTGATCTTCTGGGTCACTTCAGGTGGTTTTGACATCCTGTCAATTAGGAACATGATCTAAATAGATAAAATCACTTTATGGCGTCAGGCTTACAGCCATGGAGTATGGGATGATATCTCATGACAATTGGCCTATGCTTGGCATTATGGGATTGCTTACAAGTGTGGATAGCCCAAGCATGGGGTCAGCCATCAGAAGGCCCTGCTCTGACAGGTAAGTCAGACAGACACCAGCCTTTCTTTCATGGCTCTCTCAGAGCGGATCCTGTGGAGACTTTTACAGACCATTTAGCCAGTTTGATTTCGGACAGGGACACTGAGGCCCACAGAGACAAAGCAACTTGCCTAAGGCTGCCCAGCGAGTATTCACTTAGCAAACATTGGCAATTGTCTAGTATGGGTAAGGCATGGAACCAGACGCTGTGTGTCCATCAGTGAGCAGACAAGCTTGGACTTGTCCCCAATCCTACAGATTTGTAGGAGAAGCACAGCTCGGGGCTGGAAAGCTGTCTGAGGCAGAGACTGAGCCAGCGTGGAGGCTGCCATGTTAAACAACTGTAAAGGATGTGGGTGTGGAGGGATGTGCCTGGCAGAGTGAATGGCAAGTGCAAAAGCCCTGAGGCGAGAGGGAGGTAGCAGAAGTGGAAAGATCCAGTGTGCCCGGGATTCAGGGTCAGGGTAGGAGATGATGCTGGAGGCATGAGTCTGGTCTTACGGACTGTGGGAGGATGTTGCTCACTCCCTTACAAGTTAAATGGTATCTCCCCTGCAAGTGGCATGGCCATGGGCCCTGGGCGAAGCTGATCCCATTCTAGAGCCTGGGTTTTAGGGATAAGAGTTTCTTCTATCATGGACAGCTGCCTTCCACTGCTGAGTCTTTCTGAGAGATGGTAAAAGCCACACTTCATCTGAGCTGTCTGAGGTGTGAGGAAGTGACCAAGGGTGAGGGTCCAGGGTTCCGTGCCCGGCCTGGCTTTCCCACACAAGGTTGCCAGCATCTCCATTAGGGCAGGATGAATGAAGCATAGACACTGAGTGTTGTGAGTCCCTCTGTGTTTCATGGGAGTCTTGAAGAAGGCCTGAAGCTGCATTCTACTTTATCCATTTAAATGCCTGGGAAGATTGGCTCAAGACCAGGTAGGTGTTCACTGGGAGGCATCCCAGAGCTGTCCAGGCACCTCCTCACCCACTCAGGAGCTCACTGGTCCAACATGTTTCCTGCACATGGGCAGCGGGCCCAGGACAGTGCCAGGCTTGGAGGGGACAGAGGCACAGACCAGATATCATCTCTGTTCATTCTTGTGCAGAATCGTGTGATGTGAACTCAGGAGCCACAGACACACGAGAAAGCTCAACAGACGATGTGGAGTGCTGCGGGGGGTCGGGGGGGATTCACTCTGATGTTTGCACTGAGGGCAAGAATACTGAGGAGGGAATGTCGCACTGGATCCCAAGGCCAAGGCCATATGGGCTCAGGTGGAGATGAGGCCCAGTAGGGAGGAGGCCTGGGCTGCAGGCTCCGGGAAGCTGTGTTTCTATGGTGTCCTTCAGAACGCTGTGGCCTGGTGCAGGTCTGGCTGTGAGTTCCGAGGCCGGTCTAGCAAGGCTAAACGCGGGCAGGATAATGACTGACTCAGTGTTTTCTGGTTAATCTGGTTCACCTCTCTGTGGCATGCTGTAATGAGGAGAGATGGAAGGTGAGGCTGCAAGGCTGCCCTGCGTGCATGCAGGCACTGGACTATGAATGACATGCCCCCGTGCCCTGTTCCCAATCACTATGGACAAATGACGGCCTGAGCGCGGGGCTGCTGCTGGGAAAGGCGTGTACATCAAGTGTATGAGTTCCTCAAGTCCCCTCCTGCTCACTGTCTTCTGACTGACTGACCATGGGCCCTGCCTGTGACCCTCGTGATCCCCCAGCGTGGAATGGTGGTGACACTAAGAAGTGAGCCCTGAGCTGCTGGCCATGCAGACTGGCCATCTCATCCAGCGGCCTGGCCCAGGGCTTGCTGTTACTTTCATTGAATGATCTAATGGGGGAAATAAAAAGCACCTCCTGCCTGAGGAGCTGGGGACCCTGGCTCTGAGCCCTGCCTCTGCTCTGTTGAACTCCTCACTTTTCTCTGGACCTTGGTTTCTTTATTTGTGTAATCATCGTGGACAATAGCCATGGCTGCAGTCAGCTCACAGTAAGAGCAGAGGTTACTCACCTATGCGTGATAGCGTTCAGCTTTCCAAGGACTTAATGCAGTCCACGCTGGACCTTCCCTTTAAATGTCCTCTAAGCAGCTGGGTCACACCTGTGAGGCCCTGTTTATGGATTTGAGCTTTAAAACAGACTGAATATACCCATTTTCAGGGCCAGGATTGTTGAGGCCACAGAGCTGGAGTTTGACCTCAGGCTCTTCTCTGTCCTCATTGTTGTACAAGATGATGTCATGGATGTTTGTGTTCCTGGAGGTTTCTGGGATCAGTCCTTGGACTGGCTAGTGTTCTGCCGGGCCTTCCTCAGACAGACTGTAGGTCATTCCAGGACGTACATGGACCTGGACAGGTCACCCACTCCATTCCTGGGGAAAACATTGCCAACTGAATGTCAGGGTGGTGCTGAGGCCACTGCTGGGAATGTTTCCCACTGAGTTCTACTCGGAGTGGGTGGCCAGCTCTGACTCTTGGCCCTTTTCATAGGGAAACTCAGAGTGCCCTTTGCCTTGATAGAAGACGTTAACGAGACCCACTCTGGGGCGATGAAACACTTCCTTCTCAAAATGGTTATTGAAAAAGCAATTTTGTTTTCCCTACATGGGGAGTGAGTAAAAATCACCCCAGAGGAACGGAAGGGGGGTGGGGAGGCAAAAAGAAACTGCTGATGTGTGTGTATGTGTGTGTGTGTGTGTGCATGTGTGTGTGTGTGTGTGTGTGTATGTGTGTGTGTGTGCGTGTGTGCTCACACGCGTGCATGAACACACATGCGTGTTCAGCAGTGGAATCTGTTTCAGTAAAACTCAAGTTGATGCTGGCTGTCACTGTGGTGGGCTCCGGCTCTGGCAGAGTGGGTCCCTCCTCCGGCCACCGAGAGGACGCAGCCCGCTGTATTTACCCTCGGCAGACTATTAACCAACACTAGGCTATTAATCTGGCTTTTGAGCCTTCACTAAAGCCCATAAAAGCTCACAGTTGTCAAATGGAGTTCATTTTAATTTCCTTTCAATCACAGTAAATTATTCAGGTGATAAATCAGCTGGAGCAGCCTCCTGGCTGTAATAGAAACCCTAATTCCTGGCTAATTATCCAGCCCATTGCTGCCAACAGATCAATACGGGCGCAAAATGGAACGGGCCCAGGGCCCTCCCTCCCATTGGGCCAGAGACAGAGAGACAGCTGGGGAAGGGGACGTGCTGCTGACCTCCTGGGAAGTTCAAAGGTCATGGGGGGTTAAATCAGGAGATGGCCTGTCCCTTGTCTAACAGAAAGCCACCAGAAGTGCCCCCCTGTTCTCCCGAGCAGCTTTGTCCACTGCATGGTGGCTCTGCTGTCGGCCAGCAGGTGGACTGGCTTCTAAGTCTGCCTGATCCCATGAGCATCCCCGCCCTGGGAAGGGGCTGGTCTGTTGGCATCACCCAACAAGACTGATCTGGGTCTTCAGGGACAGACTCAGAAGCTACCAGGAGCCAGATAAAGGTCTGGGCTCTGTGGGGGACCCGAGGCCCTGGCTTCAGGGGGCTCATTTTTCCCCTGGTTGCATGTGTGTTCTGTCATGAGGAAGTGGAGGAGGGGGAGGGGGGAGAGGGAGACAGGCATGCCAGGCCAGAAGCAGAAAGGTGCCTGGAGGAGATGCCCTTGGGGATCTAGAGAGCTGGGCAGATCTGGGCTGGTGGAGATGGCAGCGTTGGCTGGAAGGGTGTTCTGGAGACCTGGAACTGCATGAGTCAAGGTCTGGAGGAATGCCAGCGTGGAGCTGGAACGCTATCTGAGTGACAGGAAGTCAGGGACTCAAACCCCAAAAGGATGGAATGCGGAAGTGAGGACATTTGATGTTGTTTTGGGATCAGAAAGTCTCAAGGAATCTGGGTGCCGTGGCCTGGACCATGCTGTGGGACTTCTTGCTTCTCGCCCTGCCCCTGCTGTGGCCACTGGAACTTCCTTCCTGCAGCCCATCCCTCCACAAGAGCTGCTTGTGGCTTTCTCCCTGTTCTGTCTTCCACAGGACCTTTTCACTGTCCCGTGTCCCTTTACCCATAGGAAGCTCTTGCTCTGGCTAGGCCTCACCCCACTGCCCTCCAAGAGCTGGGCTGCTTCTGTGTCAAGAGGGTTGCTAACCATGTCTCTCAGGCTGGCATGTGCACATGTATGAGTGTGTGTGTGGACACCAGGAACAGCTTGGCAAGTGCTTGATGGCAGATACCCTAATCACAACTACTTTCTTATGTTGTTTACACTCTCAAGTGCTGATCACTGGCTCCCTGCATGGAGCATCACCCTACAACTGCATATATATATATATATATATATATATATATATATATATATATATATATATATCCCCTTTCCCCTGGTCCAGGCTGAGCAAGAGTCCCACCCACTCCTGTGAGTCACCCACGACCCCATAAGGCCACACCCACTGTCTCCTGTTTGAACTCAGGCTCACGCTTGCGGCAGGGTCGTGGCCAGTGTGAACTCACTGCTGACCATCTGCCC